AGTCACATTTGGTTCCAAATGAGGAAGATCTCTATGAATAGATATGGAGTGATTCATAGACTACATGGTTAAGTAAAAAAACAATGCAAACAACCATCTATCATGTGCTGTCTTTTGTGGAAGGGGGAAAGGGAAATAAGGTGTCCATGCGTCTGCTCACTGTGCAAAAATAAACACAGGAAAGATTGACAAGAAACTTTCAGGGTGAGTGGGAATAAGATGGAAAAAAGAGGGATAGGAACAGAGAAAAAAAGAAAGGGGGGAAACAGTGCTTCCCTGGGTATACCCTTTAATATGATTCAGGCATTTGGAACCACACTGAAAAGAATCCCTGGGAATGGCGAAAACACCCTAAAGTGAAATTCAAACAGAAAGTAATGGGGGTGGGAAAGAACTGACGCGAGCAACTTCGGAAAATAATCTTTTGAGGAGAGACTGTTGCCTGAAAATCAAAGAACCTGTGAACTCTTTTTCATAGAGGTGTGAACTAGCGGTTCTGAAATTTCTGTGTAAGGTAAGGTTGAACAAATAAGTATCTTGTCAATGGAAACAAAATTTGTTGGAGGAGAGGGCTTAAAAATATGGAACAAGGGGAAGGCTAAAATGGACATTGTTGGACTGGAGTTGGAGGCATGAGCATGAAGTCAGGGTGACGGATGGATGGAGAGGTAGACAGAGATGAGATGTCTGTGTGCATATGCATGTATTTCCTAGACCTGTAGGGAATATGTTAAAAAATAAGGAACCACTTGGAATGAGCTTCTGCTGTTCAAATCTGAGACAGTTTGAGAATCCAAACAAATAAAGATAGCAATGAATTATAACCCACAGGATAAAATAAGAATCCATGAATATAATTGAATATATATTATATATATTATATATATAACATAATATATATAATAAATATAATATATATTAGAGCAACATATTTTATACTTATTTATATGTGCTCATTATTTATATGTTTACTTAATATAATATGTATTTATTATATATGTACTTTTCATAGTACATATATACTGACGTAATAATTTATATATATATCTGATATAAATAAATAAAGGAGAAGGGAAAGCTCCTTCTTGCAGTAGATTCTCAACTAATAAATATATAGAGAATGATGGAATTAGAAAATCACTATCATAGTAATAATTAATCTAGGCAAGAGTGAATATTAAAATTAGTGGATAAAACTTTGACAGTAATTACAAAATTCAGCCACCTGGAACAAGATTAAGAGGAGGTTTCGAAGTCTGTGACACACTGCAGACCTTCCTTCCAACTGCTGTCAGCTGACTGCTTAAGCCATATTGCTAAGCACTGTGTCAGTAGTGGGTAAGAAGAGTAAGTATTCATTGAGTGTTCACTACATGACAGGCATTGTGCTAAGTGGGAATTTGGGGGCTTAGTATTCTGCATATATTAACTCACTTATTCCTAACACCAACTCAGTGAGCCTTTTTTCAAAATCGATATCCTCACCAATTTTTTTTTCCTAGTACCAGGGATTAAACCCAGAGGCACTTAACCACTCAGCCATAGCCACAGCCCTTTTTATTTTTTATTTTGAGACAGGGTCTTGCTAAGTTGCTCAGAGCCTCACTAAGTTGCTGAGGCTAGCCTTAAACTTGTGATCCTCCTGCCTCAGTCTCTTGAGCCACTGGGATTATGGATATGTGCCACCATACCCTGCTGGTATCCTCATTTTTAAGAGGAAAAAGCTGAAGTTGAAGTAATGAAAGATTTATCTAGAATCAAATCAACAAGAGACAGAGCCTCAGATTCCAATTCCTTGCCTTTGGCATTGAGTCCAATGTTGCCCTATCATGTGGTATGTCTCTGGGTCTTCTTAGAATTCTGCTTACGAAAATGTGAAGAATAATTATACCATTGAGGCATTCTTAAACCAAAGCAGTGGTGGCTGCCTTTTTCTCCTTTTTCTGCCTCCTCATTTTCCTCACTTGCAAAATAGAGACAGCAATACAGTCACTTTTCATTTAATGGCAGGGGTGTGTTCTAAGAGCTGCATTGTTAGGCAGTTTTGGTTTTGTGTGAACAACATACAGTTACTTACACAAACTTAGGTATTAGGTCCAACACTCAACACAGTCTCTTGATGTGAATGATGGATGTTGTTACATGGGGTGTATGAGGCCACTGCCATCATAGTATGGCCTATTAGTTTAGTAAGCTTTTTGTTTAATAAGTAGGAGAACATGTTAAAATAATGATAAAAAGTATTGCGTAGTATATACATAAACCAGTAACTTATTCGTTTACTATCAAGTATTACATGTTGTTTGCAGTGTATGTGCTATGCTTTCATATTACTGGCAGTGTAGTAGGTTTGTTTATACTAGTATTACCACCAACACGAGTAATGTGTGGAGCTATGACATGATAGCGAGAATATCACTAGGCCATAGGAATTTTCCAGCTCCATTATAATCTTTTGGGACCACTATCGCATATGAGGTCTATAGTCTGTTGTTGACCAAAGTCATTTTGCAGTTCATGACTATACTTAATGTACGTGTTCTTATGAGGACTAAATTAGATAAGGTACATAAAGCATATAGCACAGTGTGAAATGAGTGTCCATTAAATGATAGCAGCATTGGTAATTGCAGTTGTAATGTTGAACTCCCTAGTAAGATGGAAAACATTTCTAAAAGACATCTCTTGCTTTGGGACTGAATTGATGATCTGGGACTAGATCATAAAGAGCTCATGTATCATGAAAAGAAGATTACATCTTATTCTATAAGCAACAGAAAGCACTGAAAAATTCTGTTACTTGGAGAGATGTGATCTGGTTGGTAATTTGCAGAGCAGACCAAGGGGAAGAGAGAAAAACTTAAGACTAGGAGACCAGAGGAGGCTGTTGTCAAAGACAAGGCAGAAGATGATGGGGGCCTGGTGTGCTGGTGAGGAGGGGATATGTGAGACACAGCCACACTCCTGGATGGGTGCTTGGACTTAGCAGGAGAGAAAGGGGAGGAGCTTAGGTGGACCTTCAGCCTCAGGCCTGGGTGTAGCCCTGGTAAGGCTTGATCAGCATGCAGAGTAGGATCGGGCTGGAGACCTGGAAGGTGCCAGCTTAAGGTGGTTTGGAACAATCAGCAGCAAAGTCACGGTAGAAACTTGGATATTTACATCTGGATGAAGGACTCTGAAGATCCAAATATTCAGATCCACATTGGGAAAGAACTTAGCCCTGGAGAGTAAGTGAAGCTGTGGAGACAGATGAGGTCCCTCAGGGAAGGGAAGGAGGTAGAGTGAGGAGACAGTTGAAGATAGAATTTTGGAAACACCAATGTTTACAGAAAGAAGAGACCAAAGGAGACAGAGACAAGGAACACTCAGAAAGATAAGCAAGGTTCAACGTGGTTTTCTGCCATGGCACAGACTGTGATGAAGCAAGGGAGAATTGAAAGGCTGCCTGTGGGATTTGGAACTGGTGATCAGCAAGGGCAGGTGCCAAGTGCAGAATCCAATTTGCCCCTTGATTAAGGAGAGACTGGGCCTTTATAGAGGGAAGAAATTCACTCTTAAATGCTCCCAGTGATGCAGGCATCTCACCTGCCAGCCATGCACTCCCAACTACTGCCCTTCCTTACAGAACTGGAGTCCCTCTCCCCCCCACCCCTGCATCTGGTCAGCCCCCATCTGCCCACCTGTTCACTTCTCCAGAGAACTCCCCACATATGCCTGCCCAGTGGGACCTCCATCCTACATTGCTTGTATGCTCCAGGATCCCCAAACCTGCTTTAAAGTTGGTTCCCAGGATGGATACTATTTTATTAAAACCATTTTTTTTTTGGTACTGGGGATTGAACTTAGGGGTACTCGACCACTGAGCCACATCCCCAGCCCTATTTTATTTAGAGACAGGGTCTCACTGAGTTGCTTAGCACCTCACTTTTGCTGAGGCTGGCTTTGAACTCACGATCCCCCTGGCTTCAGCCTTCTAAGCCTCTGGGATTACAGGCATGCGCCACCGTGCCAGGCAATGGCTTATTCTTTAGTAACGTAGGATCCTGTGTTGCAACTCGTCTTTATTTCTCCTCCTATTGGGTCGATGGTTTCCAACCAAATTTTTTAAATCTCAACCAGAACAAGAAATATACTCCTAATTATGATCAGTCTACACATACATGTATAACTGAAAGGCAAGTCCCCAGGCAAGGCATACTTTTACTATGGTAGCTGCACAGTAATATTTTCAACTCCATTCCATTCTACCCTGTTCTATTTCATGTTTTTAAGTGCTGGTCCTGGCCTACTACATTAATTTTATATCCCACAGAACTGATTTACTGTAATATGCCGTGCTGGGAGGGGATAAAAGAAAAAGACACCATTTTTCTGAGTCCATTCCCTTTCCCTTCATTTAGGCCCCTCAGCACTGAGGCCAGCAGGCCTTCCCTCTTACCTCCTTTTTGTGGCTCTGAGAGGACACAGAACTGCTTCTATCACTAGATGTTAGCCAATCTTGGGATTATATGAATTTTCAAAATGGCTCACCAGGGGAAGGTAAGCAGCTATAATAGTAGAATTTAGAGATCAGTGAAGGAGAGAATGGCTCACCTTTCAAATCTCCCCTTATAGATTACTGTTCCTGTAATTACTCATGAGGCATCCTAAGGCATTTTCATTCCATGCAGATTCCTTTAGGTAGCCCTAATACTACTACTCACCTGAACCAGTTAAACTTTCCCAGTACGTCCTACCTATACAGGCCTTCCCTGCATGGCCTACCTATATTCATACAGGCCACAGATTTCCACCTGACACCCACCCACAGCTAAACAACAAACGGCAGTTGTGCTGTTCTGATTTCTATGCCCTCTTCAGCCCTTTCCAAAGGGAGATTGCTCCCTGAAAACCCTCTGAACCATTGCCTTCTGTAGATCTTTCAGCAAAGAACTTTTGGGGTTTTCTTTTTTTTTAATTCTAACATTCTCATTTGCAATGTCTTTTCTGCTTCTACCTAGGAAATGCCAAAATTTGTGAATTCACCTTGACTACAAACAGGAGAATGTTACCTGAGGAATAGCTGAGGACTTTTCGTAACTTCAGAGATGTGCCTGCCGCTACCATAGGCACTTGAGTCCCTTGAGAAGTGTCCTGAAGGGCTCATTTGTTGCACACCTGCAATGAGCGAGTCCCTGTGCTGGGCCTCAGCTTCACCCTGGTGAACACAGTTCCATCCCTGGCCTCAACGTGCTCACACCCAGTTTAAAGATGAGTGAAGAGCAATGGGTCTCTCTCACTCCCGAAGAATTTGACCAACTTCAGAAATACTCTGAATGTAAGTAGATGGATGAATGGACAGACATGGGATGGGATTCCATCTTGCCTGGAGAGGGTATTTCTGGAGAACAGAGCAATACAATTATTACAAAGCCACAGAGAGCAAGGTCAGGCCTGACAGTTTCTATTGCCTTATAAACACAGAATTAGGGTCTTTAATATAAAAACAAAATATTTTTAAAAATATATAAGGAATTACCTTTAGGCTCTATAAGTAATACATGCTCACCCAGAATTTGGGATATTCATGGAAGAAAACAGTGGGTTAAAAATCGCTGGTCAACCCTATGATCGTTTCAGATCACTCTCCTCCTGTGCATGTTGCTTTACATAGTTGAGTTCTAACAATGTACCTTGTTTTTGAAACCTGAGCTTTTCACCCAACACCATCATAAGCATTTTGTCAAGTCAGTTAAACCTCTTCATTGCATAATTTTGAAGTGCTGCAATCTGTATGGTTTCCGTGTTACTCAGTGACTGACTTGAACACTTTTGCATTTGGACCCAAAAACCTTCTTTCAGTTAGGGACTGAACTCTGGTGTGTGAATCTCTCTTGACTTTGATCTGGGAAGTCTTGGACTTTTGCTTGGACTCTTGGTTTCCCATTTATTGTCCCCAGGAACCATTTCAATGCATTAAGTCAGTAGTGGAGAGGTCCCTTGACACAAGGGCATTTAGCTGTGCCCGCCATGGGTCACTGCTAATCCCGACTGGTGACAGGAATCTGCTTAGGCTGAGGCAGAAGCCTGTGTGATCACTTCCCTCTGCACAGAGTGGTCTTCATTGATTGTGCCATGGCACTGATTTTCTTGAGTCCTTTGTCTTGCAGGGTTGCCCCACCCACCCAATTTCCTTTCCCTTCCTTTTAATTATAATGGCAGCTTTGTAGATCATTGGGCTTGTAGCAAGTTGACCACCTGCCGGCTAAGGTTGTACAGGTCCCCTCCAAATGCCCTTTTGGTGGCCCCTCCCTCTCCCTCAGGCAGCCCTTGTCCACACCACTGATCTGAAAGTAAAACCAGGCCTCCCACAATTACCAGCTCTGCGTCTTGAGACAGTCCTTAATACCCCAAGCCTCCATGTCCTCTTCTGTACAATAAGAGGACTGAACGAGGTGTTCTAACCCTGTGGTACCATCTGGGACTAACATCCTGTGACGTCACATGGTCCCAAGGTCAACAAGAGCCCCATAGATCCTGATTGTTCTCCCTCTTGGTACAGTGGAGCCTGTGCTTTCTTTTGTCTAACCTTGATGAGTTTAAAGAAACTCTACAATGTATTGATAGGGAACAAGGAATCATCCTCTGGGGTAGCTTGAATTTAATTTAGCCTGCTCTATAGGTCAGCAAAGTATCAGCCCGACAAGGATGAAAAAGAAGCATATAGAAGAGTCCTACCCTAGAGGGATCAGAATCTTGTTAGGGTGTCAGAAATGTGCTCCTGACATAAACAGAGAATTGCTCTAGGGCATCAGGAAGGAGGTGTTGGCTAAATGGAGCTTATAAAGGTACAAGGTACAAGGAATCCAAGGCCAGGGAAATCAATACAGGAGAGTGTGCCACACATAGGGGGATTCAAGAAATTTATTGTCTTCAGTCAATGGGGACTAGAAATCTAAAATCAAGGAGTTGGTAGGGGTGGTTACTTCTGAAGACTGTGAGAGAAGGACCTATCCCAGCTTATCATTGGCCATGTTCTCCCTGAGTCCCTTCACATGGTCCCTGTGTGCCTGACTCTGTCTAAATTCTCCCTTTTTATAAGGACATGGTTTTATTGAATTGGACTCACCCTATTCCAGTATGACCTCAGCTCAACTAATCACATCTGCATGCACCCTATATAAAGTCGCATTCTGAGGTACTGGGGATTGGGACTTTAATATATGAATGGGGGGGATACAATTGAACCCATATCAGATGATTTAGCTGAGTGAACTCTAAGGGAGAAAGATTTAAAATGCAGATAGTAGATGGTAGATGCAAAGGCAGAGGGGCCCAGAGGGAGAGGGTGCCCAGGGGGTGGTGAGCAGAAGTCTGGGCTGGATTGAGAAAAGGAGCAGGAGGATGAGGATGGGGATCTGAGGAGGGACAGGGATAGTAGAGGCCTTGGTCTTGCATGTCAGGTATGTGCCTTGGATGGAGGCGGCCAACAGAGTTGTGAACTGGAGGCTGTGAGCAGGTGGCTTGGATCAGGGAACTGGCAGGTCAGGAAATCTGGCAGAGTCCTTTGGGCAAATCTAATTTGAACTAAGGGACAAGGCTGGGATGGCGAGTGTCATAATGAAGAAATGCTGATTTATGGGAAATTGCAGTGGATTCCCCATTAAGGAGCCATTGAAGACACCTCAAAGGCTGAATCTGTAGAAACTGGAAATAGTGGGCCACAGGGCTGGTGGAAACCATTTAGGAATGTTGACTTTGAGAGGCTGATGACACGTCCACTTATGCATTCATGTGCCAGGCTCCAGGGAACCAAAGAATGAGATGTAGTTCCTGTTCCCAGAGAGCTCACATCCTTGTGGGGGAAGACAGACAGGACCCAAACAATGATGTCACAGTATGGCAGGTGCTGAGAAGCCAGGAGCCTGGAGTAGGAGACCTAGACCGGCCCAGCGGGGGGCTTCCTGATGCAGAAACAGACTGAGAGCCTGGAGCACATGAGATAGGATGAAGTGGAGGAAGAACTAGAAGGCCAAGTAGGGCCCCATCACAAGGATTCTGCCTTCTAAGTGAGAGATCCTGTGTGTGGTGGGTGTGAATGGGAATGAGGGGTTAGGCTACATCTCTGACTTGTGACTCATGTGTGGAGACAAGAGGGAAAGAAAAAAATCAGAATTAAGACACCTTAGAGAACCAGAATGTTGGAGAAAAACCAAGAGGCTGGAGAATGTGGCTGAGGGTGTATCCCCCGCTGGGGGTCAGTGAAGTAAAGGAGTCAGAAGACACAGAAAGGCAAATGGGTAAGAAGGAGCCCAGGATGGAGGGAGTGAAGGGAAGAGGGGTTCCAGATGTGGCAGAGCAGTTGAGGAGCAGAGGGAAGGGAGAAGCCAGAGTATTTAGTAATAAGTGGCTCTTCCCTAGCTTGGATTTTTTTTCTTCAGCCATCATCTTTGTCCTGTGACCCTTTCTCACCCTTTCTATGTCCCAGGACTAGACAAGGTACTCCAGTCCTGTTGTTATAATAAGAGAGGGGGAAAAAAAGATAAAATTCTTGGAAAATGATTAGTTCTGAGAGGAAACCCTGAAAAAGTCACTTTTAGATGCATTCTGGTATTCAGTCAGATCACATTGCCATAGCAACCGCTCTTCCACAACCACATAAACAGGAGCTTTACAATAGCGAAATAATGAAGTGTACAGCCCGAGAACTGAGAACTTCCTCCCATGAAGTTACCAAGTGGGAGGGGCTCTTGGAGTGCTCCATTTATGTAGCATAAACCTGCATATTCTCTGGTGGCTTTCTGGGAGGGGAAAATCCATTCTAAAACTGCTCTTGGAAAAAATCAACCAAGTTATATTGTTATATTTTGTGCCTTTACGAATATGTAAAAAACAAATTCCACTATTACATATAATTATAATGCACAAATGAAAAAGAAAAAAAAGATAAAAACTGCTTGTGGAGGCATAAACTTGGGAATATACGTACTATACTATTTTGTATGCTGTTTTCTTCACTCTAACAGTGTTCCAATTATCTATTGCTGCATCAAAACCACTTCAAAACTTGAGTTTGAATAACAAGTTGGGAATCTGCACAGGACACAGTGGGCATGATCAGTCTCTGGTCCACATGTTTGAGGCTTTAAGTGGAACAACTCAAAATGACTAGACCATTGCGTGGTGGTTCCTAGGTGTAGCCTCTCTGTCCAGCACCTCCTCATCTTCCAGGGCCTCTGCATGTGGTCTGCTTCTAGCAGGACTTTTAACATGATGGCCCAAGACTCCAAGAGCAAAAAGGCAGCAGCTGTCAGACCTTTTAAACACCTTGGCTCAGAGGTCCTAGAATGGAGCTCCTTCTACATTCCATGGTTTAAAGCCGTTCCAGGCCTGACCCAGATTCCATGGATGGGGGAATGGATTCCATATCTCATAGACAGTGGCTCACAGTGAGAGATGGGGATGGCGGGGATGGACAGCCACCATCTTTAGAGACCATGATTCCAGCATTCAACGAGCTCTGGGAGCATGATTTTTAGTGGTTGCAGAGACTTCTTTTGAATACATTTACAGTATTTCATTTCACCAAATAAGTTATTACAATTTTAGAATGCATTAACACACTCATTGTGTCTAGTAAGGCAAATTTGGGTCCCCTCCCGCCCTACCCTGATCATGCCTCTCTGGACATAAAACATGTATTTATGGGTACTACAGTTTACAGTGGACAATGGATAAACCACCTGCTGGCAGAGTGAGGGGCCTCCAGCCTGATTGTAGAAAAATAAAAATACTGTGTGCTTTTGCTGGGGAAAGGAAGGAAAAAATGTTTGTTGTATTAAAATATCTCAGTGCTTTTTGGAAGAAGTGCTAAATTAATTGTGAATGGTTTCAAGAGGTAGCCCTGGGACTAGTAGGATGAAATCATAGGTCACTCCTGTCCAAGGTAGAAGATTGGCTTTCAAGGGTTGAGTTTCCTTTCCCTGGAAATATGTGGCAGAGTTGGCCAAGGCACTATAAGAAAGACATGAGCCTTAGTTGTCTGGTTGATTCAATGACTTTCAGGAGCCTTTCCGGGTTATGGTTTCTGTGTTTATAGCAAGTTTCTTTTCTACTTTAGAGAGAATTGCACATGGGGACCCCCATGATTGAACCTCTTTCTGAGAATACTGTTGTTTGTTGGAATGGGGGGAAATTTTTCTAGGATTCATTTGTTTGTTTTTTAAAAGTTCCATGATTTGTCAATGACAGAAACTATTAGTTTTTTTCAGAAAGGAAAAAAGTCGGTGAAGCCTCAGTTTGACTTTTAATTCTATAACATTTCCTTCATCAGCTAGT